TTCGCTAGAAAGGAACGAGTAGTCGTAGTGATGAGTGAAGTAGGAGTTGTTCGTAGCTGTTTGCATTTTGTAAAACTGTTGGCACTATTTGTAGGCGTTAGGAGGAATCACCATGAGGAGCGTTGTAGTTTCATACTATTCCACACCAAATTCACAGATTGTCTCCTTTTAGTGTTTGCCCAATGTTGGGAATTGTGTGCGTCATACTCAATCAGTGATGCTTCTAATGCACGGTTTGTGTATAAAGAATGCTGACATATGTACTAATGTATTTTATAGGTTGAGGAATGGATATCAGAAAAGGCTATTTTGGCTCAACAGGCTCCGCCTCCTTGTAGTGGTGTTGGTATTGCTGCCATCTACGGTAAATTCAAGACCTTTGAAAGTGAATTAGACGCTAATAAGGACAAGATTGAGAGGGTTATTGCTGATGGGGAGCAGTTGATGGCCGAGCAACCACAATTGCAAGCAGAGATTGAGCCACGCATGGAGGTACTGCGTCGCCAGTGGGTGGATCTCAACAATCAAGCCCAGGAGCAGAGCGCTAAATTGGCTGATTCCAACCGCGAGGCTCTGTTTGACGAAACCGCAAAGTCTATGCTCACTTGGATTACTGAGGTTTCCTCGCAGATCGTTACTACTACGGAAGAGGTGACCGAAGAAGTTGGACTCGTTGAACTGAATGAGCAAATCAAGGATCAGGAAAAGAAAGAGCAAGAACTTATGGCCAAGCGGAAGATGCTCGAAGACATGGCTGTAAGTCACATGTGTGTCATGTAAGTGTTTGTGTGTATAATTGCAACGCGCTTGTCTCTGTTTATAGAATCATGCGGAAAAGTTGAAAGAGCAATATCCTGATAGGAAGGATGAGTTCGAGCAGGTTCATCAGGAAGTGCGTATCCGGCTTATGGAGCTCGAGGCTCCAATGGCCAACCGACGTGATCGTCTTCTCAAGCAGAAGCGGGTGCGCCAGTTCTTCCGCGATTTGGAGGATGAAAAGGACTGGATCCGGGAGAAACTTGCTCTTATTGAGGATCATGGTCGAATGGCGTCTAGTCTCCTTATTAACCAGCAGTTGCAACGACGTCATAAAATGCTCACCAATGAAGTTGAGAATCATGAACCGCGCGTTGATGCTGTTTGTCAGGTGATATTCCACTTTAATATTATTGTTGACTTTGCTTAATAAACTTAATTATTAGGTGGATTCTTTTGATTCGTTCCTTGCCCGAAGTGTAATTTTGTCTCTCTTAAATAGCAAGGAGAAGAAATGATTGCTGAAGGTCATCCACACAGTGAAAAATTCCGCGAGGGCATTGACGAGGTACGCGCTTTATGGGCTACGCTGCGAAAGGCATTGGCTGACCGCCAGGCTGCCCTTGCGCAGAATGAAATTGCTCAGCAATACCTCTTCGATGCCAGTGAGGCGGAGGCCTGGATGGGTGAACAGGAACTCTACCTTATGGGTGATGAGAAGGCCAAAGACGAGCAAGGTGCTACTAATGCCATGAAGAAACACGAGCTACTTCAAAAAACCATTGAGAACTACGCCAGCGAAATCCGGTCTCTGGGCGACCGCAGTCGTGCAATGGTTGAGTCAGATCATCCTGAAAGTGAGGTGGTGGCCGCCAAACAATCGAGAGTAGACAAGATGTATGCCGGATTGCACGATCTTTGCTTAGAACGCCGGCTGCGGCTAGAAGAGATTCTGAAGCTTTACAGCCTTCTTCGTGAGATCCTTGATTTGGAGGCATGTTTTATGACCAGAAATGAATGCTTCTTATAAACCCCAAAAAAGATTACCTGATGTTATGGTCTCTTTTCTCTAGGCCTGGATCGACGAGCGTACGGTCATCGCTAGTAGTCACGAGATGGGCGCCGACTACGAGCATTGTTGTTTGCTAAGGGAGCGTTTCGCGGATTTCTCAAAGGAGACAAACGAGTTGGGCAAGCACCGGGTTGCTGCTGCCAACGAGCTCTGTGACGCTCTCATTGCCCAAGGTCATGGAGAAGCAGCTGAAATCGCCAGCTGGAAAGATCGTGTCAACGAAGCTTGGGCCGATCTTTTGGAATTAATAGAGACTAGTATTCAATTGCTCAAGGCTGCGTGGGATCTGCACAAATTCCTTTGTGATTGTCAAGATGTTCTTGACAGGTGAGGTTAATGGGTAACTTTCCTCAATTCATTTAGCTTCCTCAAATGGTTGAACAAGCATCGGTCATTGCTCTTAAAATGCCACCTGTGCATCTAATCAATGTTCAAGATATTTTCACGTCCAGGATCGCAGAGAAAGCGGGTGCCATTCCAGATGATGTCGGTCGCGATGCCAAGGCCGTCGCAGTGTTGCAGCGCAAGCACGCAGCATTTGAGGCCGAGCTCTCCCGCCTTGGCCAACAGGTCGAGGAGGTAGTCGACTTCGCCAACAACCTGCTACCTAGCTATGCTAGCGAGAAAGAGAGCATCATATGTGATCGCCGAGACGAAGTAGTCCAGGCTTGGAGACAACTTCAGTATGCTGCCGAACAGAGAAAGATTCACCTGCTGGATGCAAGTGATGTCCATAGATTCTTCGCAATGGTTCGTGAGCTTCAACTCTGGATGGATACAATGCGAACCGAGATGACCGTTAAGGAAAAACCGAGGTTTTTACCTATATTATTATTATTATTGCTGCTGTTGTTGTTGTTGTTGTTGTTATAAAAATGGGTGCGATATTGGTTTAAGCAGCATAGTGTCAGTAATAAGTTTCGCGATTGGCTGCAAAACGCACTGATTCTGAGGGCACTGGACTTTCCCAAATCGTTCATTTGCGATCGCCGAGTTTCAGCGTCATTACCTCAGTTTTTTTACACATGGTGTAAGCTTAATTGTAACAGTAGCGATTGGTTTCAGTAGGCCCTATTCACCAAGCTGAAAGTAGTTGTATTTATATGCCTGGTTTCTTTTAGGGATGTTTCGGGAGTTGAGTTGTTGATGAACAATCACAAAAGTCTGAAGGCCGAAATTGACGCTCGAGAGGAGAACTTTAGTATCTGCCTAAGTCTAGGGCGAACTCTCCTCAATCGGCGCCATCCGAGAGAGGAAGAAATTCGAGACAAATGCATTCAGGTAACTTTTTTAACAGCATTCTTCATTTGCTCATTCAAGCATATTTTTATCATTGGTAGTCGTGCTGGTCGGCACGTTCCATCGCATTCCGAGCTTCACTCTTCGTCAGGTAGTTAGGTTGCACTGCGCTAAAGGTGATTTGCATAGGTCCTCATCAACAGCTGTGAGTGTGTAGTTTAGAATTTCACGCATTTGTGCGATTTTAATGCCAATTTCTCACGAAATGTAGAAAAAATATAGAAATATAGGTAGGATACCCAGGGTCAGTGCCAACAATTTTGAGCTTCAATGGAATTTCACAATGGATTCTAGGCTTGTGTCTTTGTCCGGTGTTCTTAACGCATCCTATGCATTTGGCTTCAGTAACGTACATACGAGGTAACAAACGCCTTCTCCAACCGGCTAACAATGGAAACATTGGTCACAAATAGCCTAGGTCATACTCTATCTTTAATGTACCATGTTCGACAATTCGTATGATGACTCCTCCATTCAGTATGTTGGTACTTATATATTTGTATCATACGGATGTTGCTGCGTTGTGAATTGCTTCAACGAGTTAAAATCTACCTTATTTTAAACCATTTGTGTGTACGTATAAACTCTCGGTGTTCGCCACGGGGTCAGACATTTACTGACAGAGAACCGACGCCTGGATATTGCAAATTTCTAGACAATGCTTTCTACCGTTAACTCACTTCACTTATTTGTTATCTACACTTCAAGTCGTACAAATGGGGATTATTTAAAATAATTAGTGGAGGAAACTAAAGTGCGTTTTACGGATCTATTATTTTCAGTTTGCAATTTCACTTGTAGTATTTTTATTGTCTACTTCTAGTTGGTTACTGAGCGTGTCCTCCTGCTGGAACAATGGAATGATAGGAACGAGAACCTCCAGCTGATGTTGGAGGTCTATCACTTCGCTCGCGATGCTGCGATTGCAGAAGCTTGGCTTGTCGCTCAGGAATCATTTGTCAAGAGTCCGGATCTTGGTGACTCCCTAGATGAGACTCTTGCTCTGCTCAAAAAACACTTGGCCTTTGAAAAGGCCGTGGCTACCCAAGAAGAACGATTTATCGCTCTCCAGAAGGAGACTATGGTAAGCAACTTGTTCGCTCATGGATTATACGGGAAACTATCTGTACGCGTATTTCAATTTATGCTCAGTTATAGATTTCGTGTAGGCGAATGAAGTAGCAATGAAAAGATGCATTAGTATGTCCGTTATGTTTCGCCAACATTTGCGCTGTTACTGTTTATTCAAACGCATCTATAATGTCGTTTGGCATCCCTGAATACATGAAACTCTTTTTCCAGCTTGAATTAAAAGCCAAGGAGCGAACACCCGAAAGCGAGGCTGCACACAAGAAAGCCATCGAGCAAAAGATATCTGACGCTAGTCGAGAATTCCAGCCTCTCCCTTCTACTTCTCAGACGGCTGCTGCTCCAGGTTCTTTCCATGGCACGCCACTTCGTCGTGGCGTTGAAACGCCGACGGGTCGTTCTCTTCGTGAGTCCGTTGATTCTGGTCGTCCTGCTCCTCACAATCTCGAAGCTACTCTCCACCGAAAGCATGAATGGGAAACGGCTGCCAAACGAGCATCTGGGCGCTCTTGGCACGAGCTTTATTTCGTGCTCAACGCTACCTTGGGGACTCTTTCTGCTTACAAAGACTCTCGCTCTGCTCATGATAAACCAGGACACCTCTATCACAAAGAGAGTCCGGTTAGTCTTGCTGGTGCGGTGGCTGCTCCTGCAACCAATTACGAAAAGCGTCCATGTGTATTCCGCTTGAAACTGTTCAACGGCGGTGAATCTTTGTTCCAATGTCCTTCAGAGGATGATATGCATAATTGGGTTGAAGCCATCAACTCTATTGCGGCTTCGCTTCCAGCTCCCGTTACGGTAATGCCTCCTACAGAGGAAGAGGACGTAGAGGGTGGATTGATAGCTCCTGCTGGGCGCTCAGCGACTCTTCCCTCTACAGCACTCCACCTCTCCGAACCCGGTACTAGTGATGCGCAGGCTCCTGGACCCTCAAAGCCTAAAAAGAAGTTTCTTACACTTATGCGGAAAAAGTAATGATGGAAGGTGTTTCGCTGCAAGTGGGGATCGCAGATCATCCACTTTACCGCCTAAAATCACTTTGCGTTGTTTTACCCGCACACATCCACTCACACTTGCTCTTTCTGGAGGTAGTTATCTTTTTACACAACTTCTTCCCTTCACGCTTTTTACCCTCTCCCTGTCGTCTGTTGGGCTTTTTGTTTTGAGTTTATTCTCCCACAAGCTAGGAGCGAAATTTGCTACGCGCTGCCTTCTCACGGTAAATCTATAAATAGTTTATATTATTAAGCTTTAATTTGCCCAATGGATTAGCTGCTCTCAAAGCTGCCACCACTATCGCCTCTGTCCTCTTCTGTAAATGTATTTGTTAGTCAATTTTTGAAATACATTCTTTCTTTTCTTCACCAGTACTAGCCCAATTCTTATTGTTGCCTCCCTTCATTCCCGCACACTCGAGCACTGATGAGAGTTCGCTGGTTTTCGTATCACCTGCTCTGTCATGCAAGCGAATAGACCCACCTTTGTTCTGATTCTACTCACTGTGTCGAAAATGTGCATCTCCACGGTTTTCTTTCCTGTGTCCTGTTTTGCGAACAATGTCCTCCACTCCTCCTCCCCATGCTATTTAAACCCGCGCAGATTTATTCCACCCAAGCCTATTGCAATAATGAAGCTTCCTGCATAAGTTTGTTTACTTTTACTCGTGTCATGGGGCATGGAAAGCTACTACTTAACCGTCAGAAATACCTTAGAAGGGGGGAATTAGATTTACCTCAACGGTGTTCTAGGTTTGTTAATTGATTGCTCGTAATAATAGTGGGATGGTATTCAATATGCTCTCAAGGCTTTGCTGCAATTTTATCTCTTTTGTTAGACTTTGTTGGCCTGAATGCGTTCACTCCGGCATAGTTGTAATGCGGTTCAGTGGTTGGGTAAAAATGTTTTGGGTTGAGTGGAGGGATGGTTTATTGGCGCACGGGTTTGGTTGCATTGTTCTTCAAAAACTTGGTAGAGAAATCCTCGGCCGATTGTGTCTGCTCCTTCGCCGCAAATGTTAACATGCGGACACTGGCATGGTGTTATTGCTTGACACTTGTAATTGTTTTCATTCATCCAGTCCCCTGAGCGCCTGCATCTTATGTCTGTTAAATTGAATGTCTATCTAGAGTGCGTCCGTGTGGACGATATTGTTTAATTGCCTTTCGCGCAAAAGCAAAATTGGCTTTTTGGCGCATCCTATAAGCATATTTGCGGTTATTTTATGAATGGGGATCCATTGGGCAGGTTATTTGGCTCCAGATTTTTACGGTTCTGAAATTCGAAGGCAATGAATGGATTTTATTGGTGATTTCAAGCCATAAAAGTATGTCTGCATTTGCACATTTGTAAGGAGTTACTTATTCCGAGTTTTGAAGAAAGGTATGCGAACGACGTTGATCGCTATTTGTGAAATTCAATGCAAGTTTGTGTGATTATTGCCGACGGTAGTAGCTGCGATAAAAAACGTTTTCTTGGTCGATTTTGGCATTGCATCACGCAAGCACTGCGTGTTGCTGTCCTGCATAAACAACACGCTACATAAACATCATGCACACTCGGAAAGCACATGCTGTGCGGTTGTATGTATTTGGCCACGGAACGGCACTTAATCACCCTCCGCAAATGATTAATTTGGGATTAGAATAGATAAATGAATTGGTGTTTATGAGTACGTCCTCTAAGTAAACAAACGACTTGGATCCATACGGCATTATCCGATCCTGTTTTACTTTGCTCACGCGGCTTGCCTGCTTTCCTAACACAGCTGTTGATTTTTTCGTGTTGTTAACGGCCTGATTCGATGTGGTAGGAGGGCTCGAACCACTGACAGGTTAAGATTGAAGGGTCGTTCCATCGGGTAAGTAGGTGGTGAACTAACTAGGACAGGATTTGGTAATGACGCTTTAGCTCAGACGCTGATTAAACCCTAACTTTGTACAACTCTTTATGAAGTCTAATATCCTCCTAATGCCTCTACCCGTAACAGCCAAAATCAAAAGCGTTTCCACCGACACTGTTTTACCATCATCAATTAGTTGGGCAGATTACATTTTTAAATGAGCCTTCCTTTGTAAGTTCTGAAAGGGTATTTATTTATTCACAGTTTTCCTTTCTGAAAATTTAGTTATAGCATTTTACTAGTCAAAAACAGTGTTATTATTTCTAAAAAACAAACAGGTTCTTTGACCATAAGTAGAAAATACATTTTATGAAGGACAATATGCAAATAAGACTGAGCCAGATAAGAAGAGCTTTAGGTACGTTTTTGAAGGTTGCATGCCTAATGTACAGATCGATGAGTAGCATGCACATCGGAATGCTACGCTCTGCGTAGATGCCTCGTGGAGCGAGCAGATTGGTTGCTTTATTGGCCTTGACTAAACGATCGGAACGCGCGTGCTCGCGTGCGTATGTGCATGTGGCTGAAAACGCGTACGCACCGACAGCGCAGGAGGACACGGCGTGCGCAACAGCACAGGCCGCGGAACTGGCTCGCGTACGACCGTGACTCTGTTAACTGCGTCTGACACCGCACTCCTACTTGGCACGCACACCTGACCGAATGAGCGTTTCACTTGGCGGTTGAAGGTGCGTCTCGTTTCTGCAAGACCCCACCTACGCTATGTATGTTGATCAGGGTATAAATCTGAATTAGGTTAAAAACCGTTCCTGCGAGGAAATTCGACTATTACTAAAAAATTAACAGACCATTAGCTCTAATCGTTTTCTTAATAATAATACTTGGCCCCATTCCTTTAGAAGAGCACTTTCCTGTTACCTTAATAACAATTTGGTAATTTGAAGAGGTCTGAAATCTGATAATGGTGCGATCCATTAGAAGAGCATCATATTTTCGAGTTTATTTATTAGTTAATTGAAAGGAATCTAGCATTTCAACCAGTGCCTTTGGAAGCAGTCAGCGTTTCGCACTTTCCCGCCTTACTTAACTATAATGGCGTTACCATTAAGCAAGGATGAGAGTCCACGTGGAAGGCAATTGATTTGCCTTTTTGAATGTTGCAGAAATCAGATTTTCGCACGTATTTTGAGTAAACATGTCATGCGGAGGTTATTTTCCTGCTGAAGAGGTGAGATCCGTTTTAGAGGTTATTTTCAAACTAAATAAAGACGCAGTTTTCATAAGGGAGTTTCGATTATATTGTTTGAGAAATTTTGCTTATGTCTGCCTAGTTAAACTCGTAGTTGATCGAATGTCTTAGGGTTGTGCCACCAACTTGATGGAACGTCTGGATGGTGATCATGTCTTTTATTGAACGAAACTAGTAATTTGACCTCAGTGACCGCTATGAAATGCATGCTCAAATTTTTCCCACGGTCAGGAGTGATGGCTCACTCTGATTCGTTAGTGCTTAAAGGACTGACTGAAGCGTTGGTAAATCTACCTCGACTATTTCTAGGTGTATGAAGCCGGCCTCCGAAGTGGGTTTTGCCGATTCATTAACAAGAAACTTAGCGCTGATCTGGACTGTAGGGCATATATGCCCCTGGATCCATTCAGCGACAAACTCTATGAGGCTGTTGCAGAGGGTGTCATTCCCTGTAAAGTAATCAACTGCCTTTTCTCCAATGCCATCGATGAAAGAGCAATCAATATGAGTAACAACCTTTTCTACGCTAGTCACAGGGTTGAAAATCTCCAACTAGCGCTTACAGCAGCACTGTGCAACGGCTGTGCTGTCAAAAACATCACGGTGGATGACTTGATGGGAACTAGGCCCAACTTCAAATTAGCTAGCCTTGAGTTCCTAAAGCAAGTCATTCTTAAGGGTTATTATCAAAATATAAACATTCACGAGCATCCTGAAATCTTTACGCTTCGGGAAGTACATGAAGACATAAATGACTTAAAGTGTCTGTCACCAGAACAGATCCTTACTAGATACGTGAATTACCACCTTAGAAGTGCAGGCATTACCAATGTTCTTACAAATTTTGAGTACGACTTATCCGACTGTGTTGTATACGCCCATCTGCTCTACAAGATCGCTCCGGTTACCATTCGACCTAGACTTCTTCCTGATCATCAAGTGCTTGTTTATAGCAATATTGAAAATCGTGCGAAAGCCGTTCTTCAGAATTTGCGAGAGCTGGGAGCAGAAATGTTTCTCTGTGAAGATGACTTCTTACATCCCGAGCATCAACGGAAATCCCGCGGAGTGCTCCACCTCATGACGGTGGCCTTCCTATTCGACAGATTTGCGGGTGAAATGAAGGCACACGGAGGCGGTGATTTTCCCATCTCCAAAGAAGATGTCAATGAATTGTCCTCACGTAATTTTATCAATTCTATTAATGTTAAGCCCTATTGCACTCACGTGATAAGCAATTTGCGAGACGGGCTGATCGCAAAACAGGTATTTGAAGTGCTGCGACCCGGCTTTACAACAGGGGTGAAGTTTACACATGAATTTGATTTGATTCGCCGGGATGCACAGTTCTTGCAAAATAATACTTGTATTCTTCGGTTAGTGCAGGGATACTCCTTCCGTCTGCCTAGTCTGGATGCTTCACGACTAACCACAAGTGATCAGGAGATGTGTGAAGTCCTGCTCATGGAGATGCTTCGAAGCTACCTCACCCACGATGCCTACGACGAGCATGAGCTACTTAAGTGGGTCAACGATCAATTGGCACGAGCAGGGAAGCCCGTTGAATTACGCAGTTTTCAGGACCGATTGATAGCTGACGAATGCCTCTTTGCAGTTGTCTTGAACAATCTCACTAACGGGTTGGCTTCTAAGGACTACCTTCGGGGAAAACGTTATGAAAACGCTAAATATTACATCTCCGTTGCGCATAAGGCTGGCTTTCGTGTGTTCACAAGGCCAGAACACTTTGACGTCTGCTCTCCACGATGGGTTGCCATTGCCTTTGCTGCTCTGCGCTGGAGTTGATGCTCACACTGTTAGCTCTTATGCAACCTTTGAAAAGTCAGATTAATGGTAGTAAATGGAAATTTTGTCTGTTCACACTCCTTGCACATATAAGCGTATTAGCCATTATGTCTGTTTTTGCACAATCTGGATTTAAACTCGTGAGTTTTTACTGTATGAAGCAGTGTTTAAAGGTGATTATCTCATGCCTACAGTGCTAAGCAAGCCACAGTCAGTACAGATAACTAATGCGGTTAGTGTGACCTGTTCTGCTCTTTTGGCCATGTACGCAGCGGTTATCACCACCCTCACAATCCAAATGGTGGGCTGGGTCACCAAACTCAGAAAACCGGTTGGCGTAATTTCAATTGCCAAAATCAGCTTAAGGCGCCATTCAATTGCTTAGGAAACAGTGAAAGACTTCACTTTTGAGGTGCTAACTTTTGGGCGGGTCTAAGTCCCATTTTTTCGTGAGGAAACGGCAATTTTCATCGGAATTGTAATGTGATCATCATAAAATAGTGATTGGAATGGTGAAGCAGCACCGAGGAAATGAGTCATTGTCATTCCAGGTCAGTTAACCATTACCCCGCACCATGAGTCTACGGCTTCTGAAGACCCGCGTTCACGATGACTGCATTTACAAACTGCGAGTTTTCAAGTGGGTAAAAGTGTAGCTATACTTGTGGACCGACTTCGCATTGCTAAAAGTAGGATTGATAGCCCAGTGTCTAGAAGGTGGCAAACTCGCTTCCAAAGATGGTTCGGGGAAAATAGATGTTGTCTGCTCGATTTATCATGTAATGCCATACAATGACACGGTAGCTGGTAAGATTTTGTTACCTACATTTGTATTATGCTTGAAAAACCCATACGTAAGCACCACCTCCTGGCAGCCAAATAGCCCATGAGGGACAGGCACTGTCCTAGTGTATAAAGAACAGTTCAGAGTTTTTTTGGTACCTTGCTGAGGATTGGATATTTACTCCGATTTGTAGGGCCAACCAATCGGGAAAGCATGGTTGGTGCCAATTAAGCTAGCATCTACCACTCTCAACATTTTGAATACCATATAAGGATTACAATAGGCTGTTGCACAATGCCGATCCAAACCACCCACAAAATTCGATGTCCCTAACAATGCTTTATAACTGACTGTGAAATGATGTACGAATTAAATTTGACCTGCTTGAATTTGTGGCGAGCATGGCTTAGCTGAAAGGTTATCAGCTAAACTATGTCACATAAATTCGAACTCATGAATTCCGGAAATTATGCACGTCTCTTTTATCTGTGAACATTGCTAATGTTTTACAGAGCCTAGGCACACCCTACTTGGAGGAAAGGGCAGAACTGGTCCATTAAATATCTGTTTGCTACGAAGTTACAGGAGTGTTCATCGTGATCTAGCTGGGAAACAACATCGTGTATATACGCTGTTCCTCATGAGGTTCTTGCGTGCATGACGGTGGCACCTACCCCCTCAAAACGACTTGCATCCTGTAGCAGTGAAGAGGAAGGGAAGGCGTTTAATCTTTCTGCTCTTTTTCGCCCCTGGCCCACAACACGCATCACAATGTCGAGTATTAAAGCATAAAACATTGGCGTAAGTTGACCGTTTTTCATACAATCGTTGTCTGTTCTCCGCATTTTCCTGATAACTCATACCCTTCTGACTTATCACCATGCCTCAAACTAACAAATATGTTCGTATATTTGGCATCAAACTTACATGATGGTCATTTTGCATTCGGTGAAATCAGTTGTTGAAATTTTTGAGGAATGTGTTGCAAGAACGTGCTAGCACTGCAGAGTGGTGCGTGATTCAAATGTTTCCGCCAAATTCGTGTACGAAGGCACCGTCAGTTGCTCGGAGATATTTAATTTTTGAGATACAAGTTATGGGAGTAGACACTTCTATCAACATTTTATCCTTCCTCCGAAGTGTTCCTTTTATGCGCTTTTGGAGTAGCAGACACAGCGAGAATGTGAACACGTAATCTTGACAATTTCATCCGATGCCACACTAGCGCATGATCATGAAACCATATGGCTGCAGTGAAAACAGTACCGGAATCCTCAGTCAAACTCCTAATAATGAGTAAATGAGTAAATGTGTCGGCGCTTAATATCCCAGTATTCGAGGCAAGCACCTAATGCAGGCGGGATAAAGATATGATAAACAATTTTACGGTTGCAAAAAGCGAGCAAAATACAGTCCCTAACAACATTATCACCTTCGCTACTAAAGTAGCCAGTGTATTCCATCGATTTCAATTACATTCACTTTTAAGACCCTGATGAAGAGTGATTAGGTGAATGAAAATAATTGCGATCAACTACAGATGTGACAGATATAACGATCCTCTCAAGCACACTCTTGGTATTTGGAGAGAAGCGTGGGCGTGAGGGCAATTCGGTAGATGCTAGGAAATAGTTTTGGGGTGGAAAGATCACTCGCTAATTCGTACTGAACTGAATGAGGCGGAGCCTTTCAGTCTCTCGTAACTTCGATACAGTACCGATGAAAGAAAACGCACATGTGAGAACCCCAGAGTAGTCCTTTTGTGGGTGCACACATTGACGTTAAGTTGTTGTTTGTAGACGCAAAACTATGGTCAGATCCGATGGTCGTCTCCAGCAATGTGAGAATGATCACGATTTGAATAGAATCGATGCGCACATGATCTAACTTGAGAATCAAGCTCATAGGAGTCGGGACCGGGCCAACAAAGTTCATAAAAGGCCCCAAATAGGAACAGAAGTGGCTATAGACAGTTTGTAACAAAACTAAAACCGAAATGAAAAACTTCAAGCAAAGTTTCAAACATCCTATTCATAGTTCCATAGACTAACATCCTTGACAGTTTTAGCACAATCCGAGCGATTTTAAGCTGTAAGCTTCAAATGCGAGAATAGGATAATGCGCCAATGATGCCTCAGACACAGAGGAAAACGCAATTCTCGATCTGCGATAGCTTCTAGGGACAAAATATGTACCCTTCAGACCAGCCTCTCCATCAAGGGCACAATGGCGGAACACCTACATAGATCCCCACCAAAGCTCAGGACTAACGACTAACTTCATGGATCCGCAGCTGATCGTGACGGTAATAGTAGCCATACTGAGCGGATTGAATCGAATTTATTTTTTCCAAACCAATATGTTGAAAACAAGCATCAAGTGAAGTAGCGCTCGACCTTGCTTTGTGGGGTGATGAAATATCTTTAGTGTCGCGTCAAAGAAACAAGGAAAAAAGTTGGTACCATCCGATAATACTTAACTGTTGCTATCGATTGGCGACAGTCTCACCTCTCAAGGACCAGCATTTGCCACAGTAAAACAACTGTGTTGACAGTGTGAAGTTATATCAATCGCCGCTAAATTT